AGAGAGGGGGGGAGGGGTAGACAGGCAAAGAAACTAAGGGAGAGAAGAGAGATGCGGGAAGATTAGATGAAACTGAGCTTCCAAGCTGGGTTGTACCTTATGAATACGTTCTTTCGACCACGAAACCTCGATATCTCCTTACTGATACGATCAAACAGGCGATTGAAAGAATTCACGAATTTCCATAAAGTTGGAAATTCTTTCTATGTGAACTTAAAAAATTATCAATATTTATTAAAAAATTTTATATTAAAGCTTCATGTAGAAATAATCGCAAGCCAAATTTAAAATGATTGTAATAATTAAATGGTTTTGTAAAATTTTATAAAAATGGGATTTATATAATAGAACAAATGTGAAAATTGAATGCTATCACTACGTATTTGTGTGACTTAAGTAAAAAGTAAATCGAGCTTTCAAAATAAGCCGCTTGTACGGTAGTGATAATAATTTCAATACTATATCATCTCTCGGTTCGTTAATAATATCGTTGTAACCGCATGATTTGTATCTGCGGGACTGACTCCATAATCTACTCTCTACAATTTCCCTGTTTGAAATTTAGCACTCCGGATCAGTTAAATGGCCCATACAAATTTCGATCATTCCATCTAATTCATTTCTACCTTTCATCTATGTTTTGCCTCTATCTTTCGTCTTTTCTTGGACGAATCTTATTGGCCATTGAAAATCGCGGCGAATTGCGGTCAGAATGGCGCCATAAGACATAATTGAACGGAATCCCTCTCTATTAGGGGCACCCATCATCTGACAGAGTTTGCTGTTCTCGGCCTTTATTTGGGAGAAGGGAACGAAGAACGAAAGGGTGGAGTCTCTTCGCCCTTTCACCGTTCTGCTTTTCGCATCTCTTCCGTACTTTCTCCCGGGTATCCGGGTCGCACCCGAAAAGCTCCACCTACATATCGTATTTGTCAGGTGCCTAGAAAGGAAAGTGGAGCGCCATTTCGTATGTAAGCCACACCGCGGGTTTCTTCCCGCGAAAATTGTGGCGATTTATTATCGCCTGGGCTTGCTAAGAAATGCCAGCGACGCGAAACGCACCCTCATACAGCTTGTTGCGTAATGGCATCTCTTTTACTGCCTTCGGTAATCTTTCGAGGATGATACGTTTGCCGCTTTCCGTGAAAACTCTCTCTCTCTCTCTC